AAGAAACGCTGAAAGCAAGCTAAAGAACAACTGCACTATACAAAGTTTCTCCCTTGCGGGTAAACAAAAATACGTAATAAAACATATTTATTGATTATCAAAACAAACAGCAAAAGTACGATTTCCCGGTAATCTCATTATTAGATTATCCTCGATCGAAGAGCAAGTTTACCAACAAATTGCAAAGTTCAAAGGGACTGAATCTCCTCCACTGATTCCTTTCGATTTTCCCTCCGATGTTCGTTTGGTTTTTCCCATTCCCATTCCCATCGACGTTCCCCGTTTCGGCATTCGACATTTGGTAGCGCGCCGCGCCGTTTCGTTCCCTTTCATCATCAATTCGCAAATTGACAAGCCGAATGATCTGTGTCAATTTTTAACAGATAATTTCAGTAGCAAATATTTTATACGTATAAAATTGATCAGACCCTATTGACTCGTTACAGGCAGACTGGAGTGGAGCGAACTGTACGAAGTGGATAGATGGAAAGTGGATTGTCGATAGCTGAATTTAATCATAAAATGCTGTTTGTATATAAAGCGACGCAACGGGAGTTCAATCACTGTTGATAATTTATATTTATAAGTTTTATATTTTCCAACCCCTCCATTCCATATATATATATATTTGAATTTTTATTGCATGTTAACATTCAGCAATCTGAGGTGGCAGTTTCAAATGCATAAATAAATAAATAAGCAGTACAAGGATTAAAATAATTGCAAGTTTATAAGGGTATGTCTTTAGCATATGTGAAGAAAACATGGAATATATCGGTAATTAACGGTAGAGCTGAGCTATTTTGAGGAATCAGTTGTGCATGAACAAGGCATTGCATTATTCAAACCAGGTGATGTCGTAGGAGTACGAGGAATGCAAACAGACATTCCCAGGGCCACTACATAGGTATTACTATGCAACACGACAGGACTGACTTCAGTCAAGATGTGGCTCGTATTGGAGAATAGTCCTGGATCTGCTTAGAATTTTTAATAAACAGTTTATCCTGTAATTGCAGCGCCAGGATAATAATGCAATTCGACATTCGGTTTCAATTTTGTTGCTGACCTCAAGTCTACAACGGTTTGTTAGAATATGCATAACCTTGATGTGCAATTCAAATTACATGCTTCAACTACAAAAATTGGACTGCGTATATTCAAATGAGCAGGGGATGAAGGTTTGGCACCCCCGCAATAAATCGCGCCCCCAAACGCTGTTTAAATATATTACGCAAGCAATCTTGCCTGGAAACAAATGCAGTGCACGGTGTGGCGCATTTTTCAGCGGCCCCAATCCTGGTGCATGTGTCGGTGTTCGCGAATCACCTGAAGAACAAAATAAGGATTTTTGGTGGATGACCTCGTACATTGTATATTGCATACCTTTCCCACATGATCTATACAAAAGCATTACAATAGATTTGAAACGATTATTTATCGATTTCATATGATATTTGTACTAAATATATTAAAAAAATATATTAATGTAACATTTTGATACAGTGGAACCTCGCTTTACAAGTTTAATCCATTCCAAAATTTCCATATTTTTACTCGTATAATGAAACATATTACACTTCTGTTAAGCTAGTCATTTTTCTTACAATTCAGTCATTCGTTAAGCGAGGTTTCACTGTATTAAGTAATGATGAATCTTATCTCAGTAAATCCTATACATATTTATAAAATCTTTATCCGAAATTATCATAAATGCATTGACTGAATATGAAAATGTGCAGAAATTCTTGTGGCATCGTATTTGAATATATTCCAATAACATTTAGCTGGTAGAAGGAGAATACTCATGCGTCTGGTTAATTAGTTCTTAGTATCATAATACCATTACTCGGCTTTCGTACAGCAATTTTACGTTGAAGACAAGCGTCGCCAAGGGGCGCAACCATAATTCGCGTTTGCCCTTTGCTTTTCGCGTAATTATAATATCCCACGATTCGGGAATAAATTGCGAATGCAAATAATGTTTTTCGAGGACGCGATGTGCACAATAATTCGCATCTTGCACCGCAATTAATATTTAGGTTTTCATAGATATTTAACAAATCCTATTTACTTTATAATTTTAAACCAATTATGTTTTTCTTACAATTACAAATATAATGTAATCAATTATTTTTAAATATATTCAATGTTTTTTATAAAAAGAAAATTTCAACGAGATAATTAGACTTAGATTTTTTTTAAGTGGAAATTTTTTTAGATTGAAAACTTCAAAACCGCCCTTAGGCAAAGTATAAAATGCGTTCCCCTACGTTTTTTTTTTGTTATCCTTCTTATTTTATTAATACTAAAAAAATATATAGGGTCGCCTTGTCTTGTAATATAGTCATTTATATTCTAGGATTGAACCTCATGGCGCGTCTCTCTTTGTTTACCAATTTATACGCATTGTTTTATATATTACAAAATGTTATGAAAATTTTTCAAAAAAATACTATAATAAAGAATATATATGGAATTATAATCTTCCGCATGAACAAAGTTATTGTATTAAAATTTTGTAATTAAAAATGTTAATTATTAAAACTAGTTTGTTTATTTTTTGTTATTATATATAAATGTGATGCAATTAAAAGAGATTCGTTAACTGGAATTGGGGTCGACATTAAAGTTTGCAAAGATATCAACGACGTATAGCAAAATATAGTTTGGGCAAGTGACGTGGCAACGCGCAGGGCTGCCAACTTGGAACAGTGCGATATAAATTACCGGCAGACAGTTGTCGGATGGTGCGAACGTATTTTAATGGAACGTTCGTATTAAACTGGCACATTCCATCCTTCATATATCTATATACATTATTATATATTTTTTGTCTTTTACCCCGTCGCCGAAGGGTGGGAATTTCGTGGCCGAGATTTAGGGGATTTGTAAAATGGTAGGAATTTAAAATGTGGTAGATATTTTGGAGTGCGGCGGAGATTTAAAAGATTGAGTGCGACGGGGTTCCCGACCGTTACATCACCGGGGGTGCGGGGATGGTATATTAATAATTCATAAAGCAACAGCTTCTGTGTATATATACATACACCAATATATATATAGTACCTTTTTTTGATTTTATAATAAACGCTGCGTTTCATCCCTTAGGAACTTGACCTAAAACGGGTCATTCATGGCTGCCAGACATCTCACCGCTTCGTCCCTATCTAATAACGCGAATCGCGAATTAAATTTCTCAATAATAAATGTAATTGCATGCGAGATGGATCTATGCTAATCCGCCGCCTCCGCATACCAATTTCTCCACCCCCTCTCTTTCTCACACACATTACACCCTCCACCATTTTTTTCCATTCCTCTTTCCTCACCTGCGCCGCCACCTTCACGCGCCCCACATTTGTTTCGTTCACATCAAAAGCATTCAAATCCTGAGAACCCCGTGGAGACGTGGCGGCGGTGGCTGGAACTTCGCGTCGATCACAATCGCATTTTAATCAATGACTCCTCCAAACTCAATTTGCGCTCACTTTTCGCAAATACGAAACAAATTCCTTTCGCATCCCTTTTTTTTACTGTTGTTTTTTTTTATTGCATTTCAATTTTATTTATTTTTTTTGTCATCGAGGGAATCGAGTGTTGAATGTTAATTGACCCAACGAAGATTAACTCAAAAATACATGTCATATTTCGAATTCGAAAATCTGTTTCGATTCTATTTCCACCCCGTTGATTAAGGTCCTATCAATGCGACAGCTCCAGCACATTAATTTTGTATTTCATTGAAAACGCTTCAAATGTTCAATAATGGATTGTTGAAGAGCACTTCATTATTGATCATCAAAAGCTCAGCTCTAATCTACAACAAACATGATATTGCCATATTAATATCCAACTCTTATACAATTCAATTAGATTTTCGTATGTTACTTTACAGAAATTCGTTCATTGGAGTTTTGCTGTGTATTTAAAGTTAATAAATGAAATGATGTTTATTACAAAAACGAATCGAATGGAAACACAAGTGCAATAAAAGTCAGTGCTCATGCTTCTAAATACAGAAACATTAAATCACGACATCGAGCGTTTCCACAGTAAAATGTTCATGCAGTTATTACTAATATAAACGGCGCAACCAGTAATTACGATCATTATCAATAGTGAGCATTAAACAAAAATAAATAAAACCAGTTGTTATAATAATTACGACTTGTAATATTACGTTTTATTGTATTATCCTACTTCAATTTTTAGTTCATATCCAGTAAAACTTTTTTTTGTGTACAAATAAAATATTCGAAATTTTCATAAATTCTTACATATAACAAATAACTTTGTATAATACATTACAGAAACTTTTTTTATGCGGTCCCTAAATTGCACTTATACCGCATAAAAAAGGACCGCACAAAAACATGTACAGTAATGTAAATATTAATTTTAATTATAAATATTAACAAATTATTATTTACTTTTTTTTAATTTGTGCGTAATATATAAAATATTTCTGGAATTACTCTAAATTGAAATTGTTACAAAAAAAAATACGCGGTGTAGTTTGGAAGTGTTCATCAAATATTTGCTTGGGTTTTTACGTTCAGTCCGACGCACCAAATATTTGCATCCAGTTTTGGCACTGAAATGCATTCGTTTTTTTGTTTGTCATTAAACAGGATCACAGAATCACACCGGTTTTGAACTGTATATAACCTATATTTGTTATCCTCCAAAAGCATTGCTACAATCAATCAACACAGTTTTTTTGTTTTGTTTAATAATTCGGTGCAATAATTTTAACTAAATTATCACGTTTCTCAATTTTTTTTCATAAACAATATGATATAAAAACTGCTGTTAAACACTTTAGCTCATTGCATCATTAAAAAAAATATATTGTTATGTCATAATTAAAATAGTGGAGGACGTGCCCGTGCTGCATTTTATACCCATTGTGTTTATTGAAATTATGAACGTTTCTGCTGTATTTAAATGTTTAGTGCAATTCAGATGAAATATGATGATGATTTTTTTTTTTGCAGTTGCTTGCTCGACGGTGACAGTAACCAAATGCCAGGCGGCTCTGAGGACGCTGCAGGCCTTCCCGTTCTTCAAGCCGACATGCCTATGCAGGGAACCTCACGTGGATCCGGAATGCAACTCTTTCAGAGACTTCCTGTTCGATCACCCCTGCGTGTTTGTCCTGAAAAAAGGTAATCCTTTCGATCTGAGTGTTTATGCAATGCACACACACTCGAACGATGAGCTTAATCTTCGGGATACATTTTTTTTATATATATATATTTACCCCTCATGTTTGCGGACACGAATCTTCGCCCTAGAGTCCTCTCATCCTGCCACAAGGACGATCAGTTTTTTTTCTTCCTCTTCGATTTCGTCCTCTCCCTATTTTTTTCTCTTCGGTACGTGTCCTGCCGCGGATGCAATCTTGGGATGGGATTAGGGTGGAACCACAACAGTCCTCGAATAAATTACATTTATTTTCAATTCCGGTAGATCAGGGCATTTATGGAATATTAATTACATGGACCGGGAGGCGGTTGAAGGTGGCGGCCGCAGATCCGCGAACCTGGAATGGATTAGTTCGTCTGCACGGTTCGCACGTTAATATTTGATTTCTTGAACTTCGACCGGTACGAAAAGCGTGCATCGATTTTAATTAAAAACTTTTTACCTCGTCATTTTTGTGTAGTGTATGCTTTTAATTTCGGTATTGAGTGGGTTGCTCGCCTGTAATAACAGATAAAATGAAGTCCCCCGGCTTAGTCTGTTACTTAATTTTCATACAGAAAAAAAAATACAACCCTCTACTACTCTCAGTTATATAATAATATATTGAGATAGTCCATACCTTTTAACAATAATTATAAATTTTCAATGAATAGTTTTATTTATAAAACCGTTTTCTTTCTATTTTCTACAATTTTACTATCAATTGTTCGTTGATATATTGCAATCAATTTTCCGGTGGCATCGAATCGTCTATCAGATATACTTGCTGTCCCAATTGGAGACTTCATGAGAGATTAAACCGGAAACTCGAAACGTTCTTTTCCCTGACTTCCGAGACTCTCTGATCGAATAATTCTAAATCGGATATTGCCGGTATGTTTGCCGCTCGGGACCCGCAAAAAAAATCCCAGTAAGCCGATTCCGATCCAATTGTCATCGCATTCCTTACTCACCCTTCAAAGATTTCAAACTACTTTTATTAAATCAAACTACCTATACAATGTCCATTCATCCACTCGTAACATAAAACATGTTGAAATTCTATTAGAGATACACCCTTTAAACACGTCTAAAGGAATTTAACAAACGTCAAGCTATTTGTTAATTATATTGTACCCAGTTCTATTATACACTTAAACATAATAAAAAGCTTTCATTACATTCCTTTTCTTTTCATCCCTGTTGTAGGCAACATTTAAATATCACGAATTAATTGAAACCCCTAATTATAATTTGTTTCGTGCAGTGGAAATTATATTAGTTGTTATTAAATTCGGAGTGGGCTGTAAAAGTTCACAGGGTCGGACGTTAATATTAGATTCCTTGAGGCTGTCGGGCAAAACGCTGAGTCGTTTTTAATTAAAAACTTTTCAACGGTCATGTGTCATACTTGCGTTGCTACTCGGATTCTCATGTGTAACAACAAATTTACAAAACATAAACTTTGCCGCTCGCACCGAAAACAAAAAAAAATTCAAACGAGAGCGAATGAACAAAACAAAAAAAATTATATAATTAGTATTTAAAGGACTTTAAATGAATACGCATTCCACTTAGAAATTTGCGGGATTAAATTTACGTTTACACTACGTAATTACGTTTTTTTTACAAGCTACAGTTACCTTTTGCTAAAAGATGTTAACGTCATTTACAGTAAGCAATTTTGTAATAGTTTAACAACTTTGGGGTAATATTTATGATGATAGCAGCTGATTACTTTTTTGATCATGATACATTTATAGATGTATTGCTTCAATAATCGGGATTAGTACTAAATCTAGGTAACTGCTTCCACCAATTAGTCCTTATTAACTGAGATTGATTAAATTTGCATATTCAATGAGGGAAAACTTCCTTTTGGTTTTCACGAGAAACGATAATGAATTTAACGAAACCCGGACGTATGTGTGTAACATAGATCTTCTTGTCTATCTGCTAATACAAAGTTCTGCGTCTTTTCCTTTTTCTTGCGCCTTCTTCCTACGTTTCCTTGTAACGCGTTCGTGCGCCGGAGAGGCTATAAATTTCGAGCCGATGCGGGGCTTCCGCGATCGTGATAAACGTATATCCTCTTTTATTTTTTCTTTTTCATTCAACTTTTCTTCTATTTTATTTCAACCCTTCTTCGACCGTTGTTACCGACACCCCCGGAAACGTCTAATTATGAAGGCAAAACTTTCACCGCTTGTTGCAGAAAAAGATCCGTATCCGGTGGACGCGCTGCCCACTTGCAATCACGCTCTCTCCGTCTGTCAGCAAGAGCGCAAATGCATAAAACTCTACGACGACTTCAAGGCCAACTGCAAGGTGAGGGACAGTAAGTGCCGTATGGAAGACAGGTGAGTTTTGATGATCAATCGTTTGAATTGTTTTTTTGGAGAGGTTGTTTTTGTCTACAGGGGGTTATGCCATGAAGCCTGGTCCAATCTTCGGAGGTCTCCTATGTTTGGTTGCATTTGCCCTAACAACCATATGAAGAAGCGGTGCGACCGCATCTTCAATATGGTAAACCACAATCCTTGCGTGGGTAAGTGCCTTCGTCCTGGCAGTACACGTCCTTCCACGCCAACATCCCGCAGAACGGATGACGACCTGTCGTCCATTTCTAGGTTTAAGTAACACACAGATCCACGGGGAAGCATTTGTCGTCGACGGTTGTCCATTTAGATCAGAGGTGTCAACAAATCAAATATGCATTAAAATCTATTTTTATTATAAGATTATAATTGACGTTTGTATACATAATAGATGAAATTCGGTTTAATTGACACCACTGATTTAAATTGTTCATTTTAGTTGCTGGAAACACATTTACTAGAGAAAAAAGACACACACGCAGCGGAATACCATGGTTATAAACGAGTTTCCATCAAGATATCGAACGCATGTTACTGTTTGCTCTCATTCCTCTATATATATATATTTTTTCACGTTGATCCAGTTTTCGGGGTCCAGCGACGGATTAAATGTTGCATGACGATCGTTACAGTATGCCGCATACGTGAATACGAGGACCGAATATATTTGCATAATAACATTTTGTAAAATGCACTTCTGGACTTCACAAGCCTTCCTCCAGAATCAATCACACTGCAAAACTCCTGTCCAGTAGGGAGTCCCTCTACAAAACCACACATACACGATACACCACACACAGGACTGAACGAACAAAAATAAAGAAACAAAATCAACAATGAACACCCCCTTCATATGTCTGCACATTGCATGCAACTTGCGAAGTCTCTTTTTATCTCTCTCTTTCTCTCTCTCTCTATTTCTCTCTTTCACACTATCTATATCTATTCAAGTGCAACGATGTTGATTATCGTTGTTACCTTGTCTTTCTTGTTGGCTCCTCTTCTTCTGTTGGTAAATGCCATTTATGCGCTTGACCCTCGCAGATAGCGTTCTGTTATAAAATTTATGTTTCAGACATACTTCCGCTAAATCCCGGCCCCGAATCTGATAACGATGCACAGCCCCCTTACGATCCTGATCAGGACTTTTTCCGGAACTTCTGGTCACCACCCACAAACCTATATCCATTCTTCCTGATCACTCCTAGTTCGATGCCCCCAACGCACGGCACTGCTCATGCCTCCAGCACAAATAGCACGCACCGCACTGGCACAGGTAACAATTAGCACCAACATAGTAATTTTTCAGACTAAGCCTATATTGTGATTATTCTTATTATTAGTACTATTATTATTATTGTTGTTGTTATTACAGTAAACGCGATTAACTGATTTCACGTACTTTTTGTTTCATCTCAAGTAGTCGTTGTGAAGTTGTCAAAATTATCAAATATTAAAATTGTAACTGTAATTTTTACATTAAAACTTTATATTTAGGATTGAATTGGTATCGGTAACATCGCAACGATCTTGAGGATTATTTAATTTGTTTGTTGTACATCATCCATTCTTTGATTCGATTTGTGTGTGTGTGTATGTATCTTTCATCCACACTGAGTTGTTGAGTTTAGCCGTCACTGATTCGGACTACTGGGCCTCATTTCAGTTAAGGTGATTTCAGCTTCGGAAAATGCGTCTGCCTCATTTGACTACGGGCTAGGCAATTCCATAGTCGAAAACCCGCTAGTAGACGCGGCCAACGGGCTCGACGCACACGCAGACAACGATCACATAACGGTGACCGTATTAAAGAACAAGGGCAAGGGCCTTGCGAACGTCTCGCATTACGAGGAAGATTTGGAGGGCCACGTCAGCGTGCAACATCAAAAGTACCCAAGTACGTATTCCAGCGCCCAGGCTCATTGCGGCTTTGACGAGAAGCAGACAAATGAATTAACAGCTCATAACGATAACGGGCCAGGACATCCCTTGCACATCGACATACAGATAGAAACAAAGAACGAAATTATAAAACCGGATTGTTATTTTATATAATTTTTCTTGATTTCGCTTCGTTTTTACATGATACATGATACAACGCCGACGTTCCGGTATGCAAAAATATCATCGTCTGGGTACTTTATCAGCAAGCAGCTACTGGAGGTGCAATTTTCCGCATTCACCTGGCGCTTCATACGGGAAATTCTTAAATATTGATATTTATGGCCGTATTCGAGTCCTGTCAGTGCTTTATAGTAGTATGTGAGCATCGTAGAGCCGCCATGAGCTTTCCCTATTTATGTACCGAAGTACACGAATAGTACAAGGCGCTATTCACTTGCAGCCAGGCCGAATTTATCGTCGGAAGAATGCCCCAACATCGTTAAGCTCGGTCTGGCTAGAAGTGCATGCTGTCAACCAGAAAAAAAAAGAACTTAAGACAAAAAAAAACAATCGATATATTTGAAACCCATATTGTTTTAACATTTAGCATTTTATGAGAAGTTTTGATCTAGAAGTTGTGCACAAGGTTGATGCACTTTGAAAGCCAACCCCCCTTTGAACCCCCAGACCTCCCCCCAGCACGTAGAACCATAAATGCATGGTCTCTCTGTTTGGGGAAATAATTCGAACGCACGTACTATATACTTGTTTGTGTTTATATTGTTTGTTTCGTGCATACTTTTCTCATTGATTTTTCTTTACTCATTTACTGTTGTCTTTTCATTTCGCATCAGATGCTAAATGCGCAGTGTTTTTGTTTTTCTCGTTTGGTTTTCATTTTCTACTTCCTCTTTTTGGTTTCTTGTTTTCTCATACAAACCTCCCCTTCCGTCCATCACGATATTTGTGTTCAAATAAATGAGTAAATAAATATTTATACGATTGCACCCCCCCTTCGACAGTCCACCCTTTTCGGTATGACATCTAACGAGACTCGGCGGATTCAATAAATTATTTCCATTCAATTGACCGAATTCACATCTGGGGACTCCCTCCATATATCTACTATACGTACACAGAGTCGAAGTAAAGTTCGGAAATGCATGTTTGTACATCTGATTCTATCTATTTGCAAACACAAACTCTAGTCAGATGCCATCTACGCAAAGGAATAAATCTTAAACTCCATCAATTACCAATAGAAATAGCTCAATCAATACTGAACATTGCTTATAAGTATAAAATAATTTCATTTTTGTTTACATATTTCAAGTTTGAAAATTTTTATATTAGTTATAAAAATACTTATTCCATTGTTGAGATGTTATCTGAAACTACTTTAAAAAATCGTCGTAAATTCAAATAAGTGCATACAATATAAATAAAGAAAATATGCCCAAAAACTTGACACACGATCGTCCAATGATCCGGATAAGGCAAGGCTTTTCAGGGGCGCATTCCTTGCAGGTTCGACGGATCACGGTCGCGGCGAAGGCAACGAGGTCACAAAAGTTGTGTTCCAGAGCACTTGCCATGTGGCTATGGATAGCTGCAACAATAACTACCATTGCCGAATGGCGTTAGCACCGATTTTACACCACTGCGATATGTCCAGATGTAACAGGAACTCTTGCATGGAAGCTCTACAAGCCTTCTATCGCAAGCCAAGCTTACCGTGGAACATCGAGATAGCATTTTGCCTCTGCAAGTAAAGCCCTTCGGAGTCGTCGGCTTGTCTTCTTTCTGTACCTAAATGTGTTTTGCAGGAAAACCGACAACAAGCACGATGCATGCATGGTGGCACAGGAGAAGCTGCATCCGGTCTGCGCGCAAAGAATTGAAGGATCCCCTCAGCCCACTTGTCTTTCGCTCGCTGAGGTTTGCAGGGAGAACAAGGAATGCAGGTCCGTGGAGAAAATTAAAACGGAAACGAAGAGGGCGAGGGAGAGCCGTAGAGAATTACGAACTCGCACTTAAACGTTCTTTTTTTTTCTCATTCATTTTTTTTTCTCTTCTTTTCTTTTCTGCCAGGACTCGACTGGAGTACTACGAGCAATCCTGTGCCGTGGATAGCGTCACGAAGAAATGCGCAGGATCTCCGAAAAATTGCAGGATGGCTATGCTAGGTATTCTTGGCACCGACCTCAGGACTACATGTGCCTGCAAGGGCACGGATATGACGCAACTCTACGAGTGTCTTGGATGGCAAAGGCTTCTATGGGTTAACCCATGCGTTGGTACGATTATTGAAATAAATAATTTCTTAGATTTAATCAAGTATAACGGTATCTTTACATGACCAACAAGATATTAAGTAGAATTCTCTTCATTTTTTGGTTAGTCTTTAATTTTTGTTGATCTTAAAATTAGTTAAAAAAGAAACTTCACTGACCATAGTATTCTGTTCAAAGCTGTATATTTGAAAATTACAATTTTTGCAATTGATAATTACCTAGCAGGACTTGGGTCGTTGCATATGCAATGCTCCATGGGGCAATATAAGCATTCCCCTTTCAAGAATTTATCTGTGACAACTTTTGCGTCTCGCAGGCAGCATAAATTTTCGGCAACTCGTTACTTACGCTGCTTCCATTTCGTTCTTTTTGGTTCTTATTTTGTGGGCATGTATGTTTGAAGGATTGCTTTTGGTTTGCAGTGGAATCGCAGAAAGACTTCCACATGAAAAAGGCAGCCGAGTTGGCGCTACTGACGACCACGACGACGACACCCAGGTCCATCACCAGGGGAACTCCTCCAGCCAGACCGAGCTACACCCTGGGTCATCAAATAACGATTATGAGTGCCACCGAGGCACAGTTGCAGACCAGGGAGAGCACGACTACGTTCGTTCCACCTCACACCACGACCACGACAACCACTACGACGACGATGGCGACCACGACCATCCCCCCAAGTAATTTCAATTACAACCATTAAACCGAGTTACGGTTATTAAAACGAAACGAGGTATAAACTCGTCACCAACCCCAAACCACGCAGACGACCTTCGCACTTTTGTTTTCGTCGTAATTGTGGCCACCTCCAATTAATATAATGGGATCCCGACGCGGTCACATTTAATCTGCATTTTCTTTTCATTATCCTGTTCTGTCTACACACATATAACTTCGTTTTTTTTTGTGTCTACATTTGATCTAACATAAAATTTTATGTTTCGCAGAATACTGCGTGGTTCAAAGGCCGCAATTTCCAGATCAATACATCAAGGAAGGGACGTTCAAACGCGTAAGTAAATTTTACGATTTTGTGTGTGTGTGTGTTTTGTTAGTCGTCCTTCGCCCTACCGTTCACGAATTATTTGACCACGCACGTTGATGTAATGCGATAAACCTAACATGTAACATTTGGAATCTACATAAATCGATAGCAAAAAAAAAAGTGCGCACCTTAATTTCAGAGTAGCCGAAGAGAAGAAGAGAAAAGTCGGTATGTTGGGGGGTGGAGGAATTGAGAAAACGAGTAAAGTAAAACAGGGAAGAGATGAAGAGGAGGCCGATGCCTACCAACAAAAGAAACTTTCAACGAAGTTTCGCGTATATGCAGAAGGTAATTCCATCGTTTTTTATTATTCTTGTTCGTTGCAAAGGAAATAATGTGATGAAAATACTATTTGCATTGTAGCGTGAAAACTAAAAGTAACATAATTCGCTTTGCGAAAAAGTTTGGAGGCGCTATGCATTTCTTGCAGCAACCTTGCGTTTTTTACTTGAACTCTCTTCGGCTCTTTTATTCCATCGAACGGATTTCCATTAGACCTTATTTAATACTTTCGCGCGGAATTAAAATCTTATTTCCTTCGAACTTCTTTTTTTTATTCTACTTCTTCCTCTTCAACACGACGCGAACGGTAATGAAATGAACAACAGCGACCAGACAACCTCTCTTTCCAACCTAGAAAAACCAATGCAGGATTCTTCTTCCAATCCATTGCGATTCCTTCCAACCGTTGGCTAAACTCGTTTGCCTCGGGATTCGAGTGGCTAAGTCTGAGCGTCAACCCTATCCTCCTTCTTCTTCCATTCGTTTTTTTTTTTAATTTTTTTTTCTCTGTTCATTCTAGATTTACCACGAGGATGAGTACGAATGTTCGGATGTCTGCGAGTGTGAAGTGGGCGAGAAGCTGGCGTGCAAGACGATTTGTATAGACCGGATGCCGTGCAAAACTGAGTTTGCATTTTATAATCACGCCGCCCCCGCTTACCAGGCGTACAGGGGTCGGTGCTTGTGCTACTCGGGACGTTTTATCTGTATGAAACCTGCTCCTAATGAATACAGCCTGCCCCAAGGAGTTTTCCTATTCCTTGGGTACAGCGAGGTTGATGAGCGTGAACTCAATAAAAATCATACTAAAGTTGTAATCCAGGACGTCGTCCGAGCTCTGCAGGAATTCATCTTGGAGGAGGCCACTAACGGGGTGAGTCCCATAAAGATTAACCCTCTTCCATCTAATTTATACATTCGCACATACACACACTCACAAAAAAAAGGAGAACACATAACATTTCAGTTACCCATCGGAATGTAGGCCGCACGAACGTCCTTACACCCCCTCACTTTTTATTACCATCCTTGCCCACCCGACGTACATAGTGTTTCTCCAAATTTATGCCAACAATAAATTTAATACTGTTTTATTTTTATGCATCACGGTTCCTTTTTTTATCATCACATAACAATATTTTTCATATCGTTTACCCAATTTAAAGGCAAATAAATTTTCTTTACATTATCAATTTCAAACATTTTTAAATTACATAATTATACATAATTACATTACATAAAAATATATTTTTAAATTTAAATTGTAATTGTACTAAGATTTAATTATACGAAGCTTTCTCGGTTTTATCGAGAAAACGTTGCAAAACTTTTATAAAAGTTTTGTGCAAGACTTAAAGTTTTCATTATTTTCATTACATTTAATTGCATCCACTTTTATGAGCAAATAATCCACTCCTTAACTTTCAAAACTATACATTTACCTAAATTAAAGTTACGACTGATTTCAAATCAAAATCACCATTGAATTTCTACCTGCAACTCAAACAATGATAACAAAAGTTGTCGACTTTATGTTTACTAAATGTACCCCAAAGTTATATAATTCCTTATGCTTCTTAATTTCAATTAATTTCCCAAGTCCGTTTCTACTCGCCTCGGAAAGATTTTCTCTTTACAAACACTTAAATCGAAATATTAAGTTCTTATAAACAGTAAGAAATAAAGTTACCAATTTGAATCATAAAATATTTAAAGTATTTTTCTTTTATATAAATTCAAACAGTTGCTTTCACTTTATATTTCCATAAAAAACATATTTTTACTAGTTTAGTTTCAAAGTTTTAACAATTATCATTTTATTATAAACGATTTTATTGTATAAAGACAAAAATCATTATGTTTTTGCATATTCCAAATAACATATTTCATATTAGAAACTGTAAAAACTGAAAAAAAATACGAAAAAAAATGTTCATAGCAGGCGAGTTCATGACAACACTAAGATGTATGTAGGCTTGTTGGAAAGGAAAAATATTCAGCTTTCATACGAGTGGTCGATGATGTAATTATCTTTAGGGGTTGTTGAGAAATTCACGAAAAACTGGAAAAACTGAAAAAAATACGAAAAAAACAGCTCATAGCAGGCGATTCGATGAGAGTACAAAGATGTATGTAGGCGCGTTGGAAAGGTGAGATATTCAGCTTTCATACGAGTGGTCGATGATATAATTATCTTAAGGGG